AGGCGACTTGCTGCTTTATAACGGCCGCTTATTAGTTCTCGACGTTTAAAACTTGCGCTCGTTACTCGTCCGAAAAGTTTACGATCAAGTATTTACGGCACACCTTAGCTCTCGCAAAACTTATAAGCTCTTTGCAACATAGTACTATTAGCACGGTATAGCTAGATTCGTCAATTAGTATTGCCGCAACTACTACGCTTGCAAACGAGCTTTAATGCTTCGCGATAAGAAACCTGGTTTGCTTTAACTTCTTTCGATCTTTTCGCGCTTTTAAAAGTACGTTATTATAGATTTTTGCAGCTTTAATAAAAACAAATACAGCTACGATAACGTCTTTGTAGTAATCGATCGCTTCTTTAAGCAAGCAATCTCGATCCTTTGTCATAAGTCTATCGACGCTAAAGGCTTCGCTAAGCTTTATATTTACTACATCTATAAGTATTTTAGAGCTCTTTTGACTTTAACTTTTAATAGAGAACTTTAATACTGGTCCGAGTTCTAGAAAGAATTTAATAAGATCCTCGACATTAAACTGACCTTTAGCACCGCCGCACACTTTAAGACTGACGGTTAGATCGAAATCTATAACCAGTACTTGCAAAAGCGCCTTCGTCTTTTCGTAAGCTACTATCAAGACGATTAGAGTAAGTTCCTTCTTATAATAGACTTCGCTTAATTGACGCTCTTTTACGACTCTTTCGGCGATCTTTCCTCTTTTAAAGTAATTCACGGCTACGCTCTCCGGACCACTTGGAATTAAAGCTTGGACCGACCTGACGACCAAACCCTTTCTCGCAAGCTTAATTAAGACGAAGCTCGCGCTTACGCTAACCGCCACTTCGGAGCTTAGAACTTCGTTAGAAAGCACTTCTAACGCGCTTAAAACCGCATAGTTAAACAAGCTAATAAATCAAAGCGCTCGGTTGACTTCGACGTTAATAATAAAGTTTAATTAGACATGCGCTCGTTCTTTACTTCTCGACCGTTAAAGAAGCTTGATAACTCGACGAACGGACCGTTCGAGGTTACCGACAACGTTTATAGCAGCTTTAAACTTAAGCTCTTCGAGTCAATAAAGGTTTACTCGGTCTTTTACCTCGGACGATTACGAAAAGCTCTTAATAACTTTACTCTCGGTCAGATTATTTTTAAACTTGACTCGATTAATATCACTAGCGAACTTAAGTACGAAGTAGAGAACATCTTAACCGTACGCTAAACCAAGAAGCATTTTAAGTACCGCGCTTTTTAGCTCGGCCGCGATATTGACTTTACTTAATACTTCGCTTCCGACTTTATGTACGCTCCTTTTAAGGTACGTGACTTTCACTTAAAATACAAGGAGCTCCTCGGCTTTCTCGCGAAGCTCTTTGAATAGATTAAAGCTTATTCGGACGGTGTTAATAACTACGATCACTTGAGTAATAATAAAGCAATAGATAGACGCTCGAGGACGAGCTTTTTTCGGACGGAAGAGTAGTGTGACGACACGCTAGGTCTCTTGGACGCACCTTATATGCGCTAAGCTACTTCCTTCTTTTTTTCTTTCGTATTCTTCGTATTCTTTTATTCCCCGCTTTTGACCTATGAACTATGATTTACGAGTCCTTAGCGCTCTTACCTTCGTGTATATAGACCTTAGCTACTTTCGACCTTTATACTCGGTAGTTGTTGATTTTAAGTCATTACTTTGAGATTCTCTTAAGCTCTTATGTGAACCCCCGCGCTCCCGTGAGTTCCTTCAGGTAATCGCTTAAGGTCGTCACAATTATACGTTATAATAACGATTCTTCGATAATCACAATTAACGTTATCGGCTTTATCGAATATCAAAGATAAGCGAAAGAAGTTAAAATCGAGTTAAAGCTTTTATTATTTTTTAATCACGAACCTAATAAAAAAGCTAAAAGAGCTAAAAGAAAAGTGATAGAACGGTTTATTAAAATGAAAATAAAAGCAAAGCTCTTAAAAAAGCTTTGGCTTGGAACTATACTAGCCGCTATTTACTTTTACAATATAACACCGAGAGCTAAGAGCTTTATAAAAAGTCCGAATAAAGTGCTACAGCTTTGGTTCAAGCAATATTTTAAGTAATACGATCCGGCGATTTTTATACGGATCGATACCGACTTAAGATTAGATTATAGCGGTTTGGTTGCGTATAGCGCTCGTGCGTACTTAATGATCAAAAACCGAAAAGCTCTTCGCAATAAAAGAGCTTTTAAAGTTAAATTAAAAGGATATATAAGCTATTTAATTAAATATATAGCTTTTAATATATATAAAGTCTATGTTTCTGTGCTTTATAGAATGATTATCATACGTAACGTAACGTTCGATAAGACTCAATTCTATTTTAAAGACAAGAAAAAATCGGTCGGCCAATCGATTAGCGAAATCAAGAGAATCGTTATTAAATTAAAAGATATTAAGAACTTTAATTAAACAAAAGACGCTTTGTTTGATATAAAAAACGTTGCAAAAGATCGCTTAAAAGAGACGAATGCAGCTGATGTAAAAAGTAAGCAGCCGTTAAACCTTATAAAGGTTGACTTAAAAAGATCTAGTTAAAGCTTAAAGAATGCGACTTTATTTAATCCGAGCGATATATAAACGTTAAAAGCTTTAACTTTAATTAAAGACTTTATAAATACGTTTATATTAAAAGTAACTGCTTTACGAGACGATCTAATAGACTTTAACGATTCGAACCATATTACTAAACGTTTCGCTAGCTCTTTAGCTAAGAGCAAAAGCGAAGGTGCCCTAAGATTACTAGAAGCAAAGAGGAGCACCGTAGACGAGTAAAAACTTGGCCTTAATATAAAAGCGCGCAAATCATACCTTTAAGTTGTTATTTAAAGCTAAGGCCCGAAAGGCTAAGCTATAAGCCGACCAACGGGAGCTTCTACGTTAACAACCGGCGGAGATTTAAACCGAACAATTAAAAAAGAGCCTTTAGACTTTTTTAAAGCGAGCATTAATAATAAGAAATTAAATTATAAACACTTTAAACAAAATTCCGACTCTAATGAAGAGCATTCACTTATTAGTAGCCGCATTAAAAAACGCGCGAGGATATACGCAAGTGTCAATAAGCTTTTTTTAAACAACTCTCGCGCTGATTCGAACCGCTATTCGCGCGTTTTAGATTTTGTATCGACTTTTTAAGCTAATAGCGAACCCGTGCGCGAAGATAGCAAAGATTACGAGATATTATACGCTATGATAGCAGCTGCTACCTCGTTTAGATTGTTATTAAAACAGCTTAACCCGCAAGAACGAAAACATCTAAAACCTTTTATTTATTAAAAAGAGCTATAACGACACTTATACGGCAAAGAGTTCAAAGACGGAGCTTTTATAAAGCTAAATAATCTAAAGAAAAGGAACTGTTAAAAAGTGATTCTCGAGAGCGAAGTTAAGTTAAAACTTATACCTTTTAAATAAGTGTTTATATACAAGACTAGCTCGTCCGAAGAGATCGTAAGATTTAGATCGAAAATTATAATTAAAAGCGACTTTTAAGACGAATCTATTATCTATTCAACTTACGCTGCTACGCTAGCAATTAGATCGTTTAAAATAATAATAACTATAACAATCGAATTTGATTTAAAAGTAAAATAGTTCGACGTCGTTAACGCTTTTATTAACGCTATAAGATATACGAACAGCGTCTTAGTTACGTGTTATTTCTTTAACGGTTTTAAGCAAAAAGGTATGCTCGTAAAAGTCGATAAAGCTTTATATAAACTTAGAGACTCGCTAGCTTTATAATATTTCGACTTTATAAGAACACTCGATAAATTAAAGCTTACGCTACTCGGTAAAGAACCGTGTATTTTCACGAATCTAAATAAAACGGTCTTTATAGCGTTTTACGTAAACGATATTCAAGTTATATACTATCACTTTAATCTTTTTAAAGCGTAAAAGATTATTAACGGTCTTAATAAAGCGTATAAAATCGAAGCGATAAAAAATATTAAATAGTTTTTTAATATAAGAGTCGCTCGAGACCGTTAGCGAAGAACGCTAACGCTTATGCACGACGCTTATATTGAAAAAATAGCTAAGAAATTCGAACTTACGAACGGACGCTGCTTAGCAACTCTATTACCGTTCTATGACTTAATTAAAAATAAGAAGATAGCTTCGCGGAAGCAAGTAAAAAAGTATTAAAAAAAGGTTAGATCCGTGCTATATACAGCGATTATACTACGCTTAAATATAGCTTTTGCAGCTTCTTAACTCTTTTACTTTAGCATTAATTTAAGCGCAAAGCACTTTCGAGTTATAAACTAGTGTTTGCGATATCTATTTAGCTCGCGCTTTAAAGGTATTCAATACAGCCAGTTTAGCAAGTCGGAGCTAGTAATAGCCTTTAACGCTTCTTACGCCGATGACGAAGAGATAAAGCGATCTTTTTAAAGGTATATTGTGTTTTTATTCGAAAGTGCGATCTTTTAGAAAGCTTTAAAGCAAGATACAATCATTACATCATCTATTAAAGCGGAGCTTCTTAGCATGGCTTTTATAATAAAAGAGACTATAGCGCTTTAACGGTTTTTTAAAGAGCTGCACCTTCGTTTTGCGGCGCTTTGAATGATCTATTATAATAATCAATAAACAATTAAGCTTATAGCTAGTAAGAAAGAGCGTATCTTTACCAAGCTTCGTTACGTCGATATTCATAATATATAACTGCGCTAAAAGCACTTTAAAAAGAGCTTTCAAATTCAATATCTTTTTATTATAAAGATATACGCTAACGGTCTTATAAAGAACTTGACTCGACAGAAGTTTAAAAGCTTTATTAAGCTTTTAAATTTATAAAACGCTCGCGCGTTAATCGAGAAGCTTTAATAGCACGCATATGTTATTTACTTATTACATTTTATTTTTTTTTTTATTTGCACGTGATTCAAAAGAAAACATCTATTTAACTATTTTAACCGTTATTCTATCTTATCTTATACGCTTTTACTCTTCGCTTTTTATAACAACAGATCAACTAGAGCTCTTAGCAATCTTTTTACTTTAGCTCGGCGCTTCGTAAGAGTCATAGCAACGGCGAGCGCTATCGTAAGAGCGGCAAGCGTAACAATTAGCGCAAAAGGAGCGACGATAATAAGTGCGACGGAAGCGACGGGAGTTGCGAGGGCGACGGGAGCAGCGAGGGCGACGGAAGCAACAAAGGCGGCTAGCGCAAGCGCAAGGGCTGCTATAGCAGCAGATTAAAGCCTTTGTATAAAGTCCGAAAAAAAGTTCTAATTAAAAAGAGCTGCTTAGATTAGATCATTTCGTAAGTCAAGGAGTTTGACTTACGAAAAGGTGATATGCTCGAAGCGTTCCGCGTCACCGGACCACGGTTCGCTGCTATAAGACCATTTAATTTAACAAAAGCTATATTTAAATTAAAAGTCTTAAGAGCAAAAGCAAAATCTGCAAGGCTATCGAGACTACTTTTAAAACCTTTACTTCTACTCGCTAGACCGCTCGGACTACTAGCAGCACTTCTTAAAAAGGCAGCATTTAAAGCGAGCTATTGTCGCATAGCATTTCGGAGACTTCGGCGAACTTTTTATATAGCACTATTGTCTTTAACGCTTACGAAGTTATCGAAAGCGGTATTAGTAGCGATAGAAGCAGCAGTGCAATTGCTATAGCTACTTTTAATATACTAAAGATAACGTATAACGCTTGTATCGCAATTATAGCAGTCTTTATTAGACTTCGATGTAATCTTACTATTAATGCACTTGATGCACTTTAAAGCTTTAACGGTCGTCGGTATAAGCAAGCGCTTAATAAGAAAGTCTAAAAGAAAAGGCGAAGGTTCGGAAGTAAGAGTGCGAAGTATAGCCGCCGCCGCCGCCGCAGCTGCAGCAGCAGCGATAGCTAAAGCGGATAAAGGATTCTCTTAATAATTAGCATAGAAATATTAATCTATTAAAAGCACTTACTCTTAAACGGCCTCGGCCGCGCTTAACGATTCTATTAGACTAAGTTATTTGCTTAAAAGGCATTATATAAATAAATAAAGGTTAAGTGTTTGTTATAATAGAAAAGAACGCGCTCTTACTTATATAGCAACGCGATAAAGACGGCGCTAAAGACTTCCGCTACGTAATAAAACCGACTTAAAAAAGAATTGCATTCTTGACTGACACTTAATCAATAATAACAACCGCTAATTGTTTGTTTAAACTGCGATAACAATTTCTTTTGTTTATATCGAGTTTAAAAAGCTTAGTCACTCATTTTTTTTCTTTTCTATTTGCTTGTAGCTTAGCAATTACGTTGCTGATTTAAAGGGTGTGTTATGCGGAACAAGCATAGTTCTACCCAAGCTATATATAACATATCATATGACCTCGCTTAATAGCGCTTTTAGCACACTAGAGCTCTTAAGTATATGTATATAGATCTTGACGAGCTTCTTAAATAAAATATACCAAGCTTCATTCAATCTATAGAATCTCTTCCTGATCTTAGTGCTGGTAAGCACTACAATTATCGATAATAAATATGAAATTTTCCGATTTATCGAGTTTGATTGCAAATATTTTTAATGTTTTTGATTTTAATAAGTTTTGCTTAATATTAAATTGAATTGTTTTTTTATGATTTTATTGTTTTTATACCGATCTACTCGTGAACTATAATTCACAAGCGGAATTTCTTTTTAAGCTTCTTTTTAACTTAGCATCCATTTTAACTTGCATACTAACTATTAGTTTTTCGAGTCTTCGATTAAATCCGACTTGTCTTTTGCAATAATAATCTAGCTTTAAATAAATCGATCGTGGTTTTAAAAAGAAGCTTTTATCGTGCTATTATCGAGGTAAAAAAAAAAAGAGTTAAAATTCTAAAAAGAAAAGCATGCTTAAGATAACTTCGTAATTGCTATTATTAATAATAAAGAAATCGGCGTAGTTAATAATTCCGCCGATAATAACTTCGACGTCGTTTATTTACTTATCGAAATTATAAAGATCTTTAAACACGATAATATAAATTAAAGCTCGATCCGTTATGATAAATAGTTTAATTATCTTAGTTACCTTTTTGTTTATTACGTTGACTTTAGATCTACTATCGAAAAAGGATCTGCTTTTGATTATACCGTCGATATTAATAAAAACTTTTAAGGTTTTTATCGTTACTTCGAAGCAGTTACGAGCGATAAGTTGTTTGCGAATTTGCGTCGCTAAAAGGTTTAGCTTGCTTTCTTTATTCCGACTTAAACGTTTAACAATTAAAGCGTTTATAAGAATAAGCTTACTTTAAAGAACCTTTACGTTTTCTTTAGCATCGGGAACTATTAGAATATAATAGCTTAATAGCTTGTCGAAGCGAAAGCTAAGTCCGAACAAGTCTTTAATCTAGACCTCGATTCTTGATTTCATAATCGCCGCTATTGCTTTTTCTTAAGCTTTAATAATAACGTAAAGGTTAATGAACTTCTTTCGTTTATAAGTCTTTTTCTTTTTTCTTTTTAACACTCGCTAAGTAATCTCGACCTTTTTTTCCGCATCTTTTATAGCTTCGTCGGCTTTAGTTAGTTTAAAAGGTCTAAAAGACTCTTTTTTAATTATATTATCGAACAACTTATCTTTTAAGTCTATCTTTATAGCAGTACTCGATTCTTAAAAAGCACGGGCTTTAAAAGTGCCGTAGTTCTTTTCTTTTTATTGTCGGACATTTTTCTTGATCTTAATAAGTTTAGATCCTTTCGAAAGCGAAAAAAGCTTTTTAACTTTGTCTTTTGCGGCGGCGTTGATTTTAACCGAAGCGACCTTTATGCTAGATAAGTAGCTAAGCGTGTTGATCTATTTTATAACATTGATGTTTTTAATATCGACTAGTCTTTTAAGAATAATAGTAAGTTCTTTTAGCTAATTAATTAGTTGTTAAGCATTTTAATCGGGTTAATACTAAGCTAGCTGTTAGATTAGTTGTTGATAAGAAAGCAAGTGTTTATAAGTCTTAGGTCCGCTAGTAAATCGATTTTTTAAGATGTTGTCGTATTCCGTTTTACGAACGTTTAATACGATAGATTTGAATTAAGTCTTTTTTTGCTTTTTTTAAATAATAAAAGCATCGATCTTTTTAAGTCTTAAGTAAAAGCGTCCGTAATCACTAATATGAATACATCTTTTATTAACTATGTCTTTAAAAGCTTTACATTTATTTCGCTATTAATAAAGAGCTTAAGTTGTGTCTTCGGAGTTCTCGTAAAAGCTATAATCTTGCATTTAACTTTCGTATTTTCTACTTTTTCTTCTTCTTCGTCTTTATAGTTCGTAGCCGATAATAGCAATTTAAACTCTACTTTTAAAGCTGACTTTACTTCGAGCATCTTAAGCGGTATACTTAATAAAAGCTTCGTCGTAATCTTCGAATCGAACTTAAAGCTGAGACTAGATAAAGCGTCGGGAAGTTAAGTTAACGATTTAGTTTTTAAAGTAATTAATTCGATTATAAATCGTATCGATCTATAAATTAAAAAACTTTTTAATTATAAAACTTACTTTATCAATTCCTTTTTTTTTATTCGTGAATCGTAGTTCACGAGTAAACGGCACTACTATTAAAGCTTTCTTAACAGACTTAAAAACGCTAGCTAGCTCGGTGTATTCTTTAATTAAAGTCCGAATATCTTTAATAAAGTTAGCTAAATGAGACTTCTTTCGATTTATAGCTTCGATAATCTTAGCACTTTAATCGGTCTTAAAAGCGAATGCGACGAAGTCGTCGAAAGCGGCATAAAAGTTTAAATCGAGTTCGTCGACTTTATAATGCTTAATCGTTTTATTTCGGATTCCGACGAGCAATCCGAAAAAGAATAAGCGGCTTTGTTCGGTCTTGCTTAAAAGGTGTATTAAAGTAAGTCTTTCGAAGATCCGAGAAAAAGTGCGATAATAGTTTTTCAAGTCATTGATATCTCGTTCTTGCATAGCAAATTCTCGCAAAAAAGCGATCGAGTTTTTAATCTATTAAGTATCGTTTTTACGAAACTCGGCTTTTAAAGCTTTAATAAAAGCAATTTAATCTTTTTTAGCTTTCTACTCGAGCAAGCTCTTGATAATTTCTTTGCGAAAGTTATCGCAATAACGAAAGAGCTTAATAAACCGATCGTTTTAAAAGATATTAAAGTCTTTACAAGTCTCTTCGTACTTTTCGATAAAGTCGGTAATGTTAGCATTACTAAAGCAAAAAGCTTTTGTTAGATTGCTTCCAAGCGATTAGGAATATATTCGTAAAGTCGTAACGGTCGTCAAAGTACTTGCAATTGCAAAACACTCGGTTGATAAGGTATTTGAATTCTGTTTGCTCCTTAATGCTTAAAGGAGCTGATTCCTTCTATATGATTAGAAGGAATCACGTGCACTAGCTAACTAATAAGCTTACTTGTCAAGTTAAGGGTCCTTTAACTGCTGACATGCTAAGCGAAGCATGCTAAGTGGCCCGTGAACCATGGTTTATGAGTGAGCTTCCTCAACTACTACTATTAGCTAGCTAAGGTCGATATGGATATACCGACATCGGCAACTTTTTCTTTAGCAAGCAGTGCTTTGCTAACTATTATATCGACCGAAAAAAGAAGGAAGGTAATCAAACAAAAGAAAAACAATCTTATCCCTCCTTTTCTTATAGCGGCCTTTCCACCTACCCGTCTACTTGCACCTTCAAGGTATTGGTCAAAACTAGCTTTTACAAGGAGGTATTAGCCCCGATTTTGGTCATGGCGTCAGCAGGGTTAGATTTGCTTCCGATTCAGCGTACTTTAAAGAGCTCCCGCCTTTCGTATAATTCTCGAATAGCTATAATATCGATTATGAAGTGCTTCTCTTTAATAGTTCTTAGCTTTATTATACACTCGTAAAGCGAGTAAGAGTTAATGCATATTACTACGAGGAAATTAAAGATTCTTAGCTAAGCTATGATTTAAGCAAAAGTGGTCGATATAGCAATAGCTATATCGATACTTAAAGACATAGCGTATAGCTCAGAAGCTAGTACTGCCCTTATTACTCTCTTGCACTTTTATAACATTTAATAAAGGATGTTACCCGTTAGAGTGAACTCGTTTTTATTTACGTGAGCCTTATTACTAAGGATAGCTACGAAACCGATCTAAAAGCTAAAGTTAGCGTTATTAGCAAACGCTTTATCTACGAACACAAAGAGCTTCGCCGTCCTTAAGTCTAAAAGCACGTAGTAGATCTTTCGAATTAAGTAATCGATCAGCTATTAAATCACTTTATTAAAAGCTTTATAGTCCTCGTCTTTTAGTTCTTAGTGCTAAGCAGCTATCGATAAAGCGCAAGATGCTTTTAAGTAGCAAATAATAGCTAAATACGCTTTTCGAGCACGTTGCTTTAAATACTTTTTAACCCGTATAGCTAAATCAAGCTTGATCACGGCAAGCCTTTCACTTTGCCCTTTTTGCTTAATTAACAGCTCGAACCCGTCTTTATCTAAAGATAGCTTGCATTTATTAAAAATCATCGATTCGGCGTGTGTAAAGGTCTTTATTTCCTTGCTCTTTAGCTTAGATTTAACTAGCTCTTTCTTTTTCCTTGCTCTTATAGCTAGATTAACAACCATAAGAACATCGTCCGTTTATAAAGCAGCTATTCTTAATTGATCTTTATTAATTAATACAAAGAAGCAAAAATTAAAGCTCGATTGCTTTATCTCGAAGTTATCCGTAAAATGCTTTAAAAAACGCTTATACTAATGCGTTCTTGCTTCGAGGATGCCGTATAAAAGGCTAGTCATAAAGAACAAAGTGCCGAAAAAGAATCGATAAGTAATCTCTTTAAGTAATCGCACGACGATTATTCGTATAAGCTTCGTGCTTAACTGAGTATAAGCTTGTGTGATATCTTTATTATAAACCTAGCACTCGTAGTTTTTTATCAAAAAAAAAGCTAAAGCGCAACAAAGTCTTTGGCCCGCTCGTTATACCGTAAAAGACTCGGTAAGTACCTTCGTTTTGCTCTTGTCTTAAAAAGCTTAAACCATTATACGAGACTTCTCGTATAGCGTAAGTGTTCCTTTGCCCTTGATCTCGTTAATAAACTTAGATCCGAAGATCTTAGCGCTTTTAACGCGTAAGTCGGTGCTCGGAATCACTTAAAAGATGCTTTAAGCTATCAATCTAGCTAATTTTTTTGCTTTAAACTCTTGAAATGGTGCCTCGGAGCTCTTAATAATTCTTTCGGCTCGTAGCTTAGCTAAAAGCTTATAGTCCCGGCGTTCTTTATCGATAATCAACACTTCGAAGTCTTTAGTGAATAGCACGTAAGAATCGTCTTCTTTTTTATC